CCCCATTCTCCCCGTCTCCCCCCATGCGTGCGAGATCTTCCCCGCCCAACCCCACCTTTGTGCCCCTATCCACCTCCCCGCCCCTCAACTCACGGGAGTGAGCCCCTCATTTTCCCCTCAGATTAGACTGCCCCCTGGGGGCAAGGTAATTGCAGATATAATGGAGATAGGCTGCCCCCTAGGGGGTCAGGTAGGGCAATTACAGATGTAATGGAGTCCCACCCATACTGTCCCTATAACACATGGGGTTGGGGGAGGGTGAGTGCAGACGTTCAGGAAGGTGACTCACCCCCACCTTCTCAAACGGGGGGGCGTCAATTAGTTATAGCGAACATCATTGGTTTTCCAGAGATCACATTCTGGTGAATATGGTTAGTACAATGGCACCAAGTTATCGGTGAGGAAGGTTTCTCTAAGATTACACAGAGATCTCGATCCATTGGGTCAATGGGACGAGGAGGGGCAGACGGAGTTTAATTCAGATAAACGCGAGGTGTCGCTAAAACAAACAAGGGGCAGGACTTATACAATGAAAAGTAGGGCCTTGGGGTGGTGTTGTAGAACAGAGACACCGAGGGGGCTCAGGGACATAATTCTTTGAAGTTAGCGTCACAGGTAGACAGGGTGGGGAAGGAGGCATTTGGCACGCTTGCCTTCATCGCTCAGACCCTTTGAGTGTAGGAGTCGGGGACGTCACGTTGAGGTTGTACAGGGATGTTGGTGAGGCCTCTTCTGGAGCACTGTGTCCAGTTCTGGTCTCGCTGTTATAGGAAGGATATTATTAAACTGGAGAGGGTTCGGGAGAGATTTACCAGGATGTTGCCGGGAATGGAGGGTTGGAGTTATAAGGAGAGGCTGGGGCATTTTCCACTGGAGCGTAGGAGGCTGAGGGGTTTATACAATCATGAGGGGCAATAGACAAGGTGAATATCAAAGGTTTATATCCCTTCAGTGGGGATTTCAAGATGACTGACAAATTTGTAAAGTGAGAGGAGAGAGATTTAGAATGACATGTGGGGCATTTTTATCTTTAACACACCCAATGTAGGGGCTGGAGGAGGTGATGGAGATAGGGAGGGAGTGTAGGGGGTTGGAGGAGGTGACGGAGATAGGGAGGGGGTGTAGGGGGCTGGAGGAGGTGACAGGGATAGGGAGGAGGTGGAGGGGGCGGGGGGGGGGGGGAGGGGGGGAGAGGGAGGGGGGGGGGGTGTAGGGGGCTGGAGGAGGAGGTGACAGAGATAGGGAGTGGAATGAACATCTGGAGGAACTGGTGGGCGCCAGTTACAACTTTTGAAACAGCCATTTGGATAAGTTTGGGAAAGGTTCGGAGGGATACGGGGCGGGGACGGGTGTGTGGGGGGGACCAGTTCAGTTTGCGAGTATGGACTAGATGGGCCGAAGGGCCTGTTTCCGCGCTGTGCAACTCCGAAGAACGTGCCCCCACCCCTGGTCTTTAGTGGGTCGGACTGGGGAAAGAAGGGGGTCCATCCTGAGGTTAACTGCCCCCTCCATGAAAACCATTTGCCCCCACCCCGACCCCTGGCTCTGATGCCACTCACCATCTCCTTGTGGTTGGGGTAAAATACTTGCTCGATGAGTGGGAAATCTGTCGGGCCTAGTGTCTTGTATATCTTCGCCAACTGGCCAAACTGCATAAAGAGAGGGAGGGGGGTTGTTGTTGTTCCGGGGATGGGGGGGTAGATGAGGCAGGGGGTGGGGTGGGCAGGTAAACAGGGGGGTACATCCACGTTAATCCACCGCCATTGGCTGGTCACGCCCCTCCCAAACATTAACAAATAAAAACCCCCTTCGCGTGTCTTCCGCCAAGCTGAGAGGGCTGTTCAACCATGAGGGGCGTCGCACAGGCCGAGCCTTGGTGCCGTGAGTGCAGAAGTGGGGGTACAGGGTTGTGGGTCTCCATGGCAACGGAGATCCCCTCCCGAAAAGGGAGCGCCCCCTTTAAGATTTGATTCAACGCTCCACCACCCCCAGGCCGAACTCCCCACACCCCCCCACCACCCGTCACCCCGACCACCGAAATAAAGCCCCTCCCAGCAGAAATGACCCACCCCCGCCCCCCGAGAAAAACAAAACCCAAAAAAGAGCAGGCCTGGTCAGGCCACTGTGGGAGTTAGGCTTCACAGTGTCGCTAGGCCTCAGTAGGCCTTGTAGGACGCTGAGTGACCTAAGAGGCGAATTCTCCCGTGGAAAGGGGGGGTGGGGGGTGGTGGTTTCCATCCAACTGGCACCATACCCCTCCCCCCCAACGCTCTAACCGTGTTTATACCTCTTCCTGGCCACCCCAGACGATGCCAGTAGGCCATACGTACCACCCACGGCTTGTCACAGAAATTGTAAACGGAGTGCAGGGAGTTTATGCTTGGCACGCCAGCGTACTGGAGGCCGATGACAATATTCCGGAAGTCTCCGCCCTTCGCCATGCTGTAAGCGTGTTGGCGGACCAGGACAAAGTCTGGAGTGAAGGACCTAGGGCCCAAGGCATAGACATATCTGTCACTTCTGTCATCCCGTCGTTCGTGGACCACCCCCCACCTCCCCCCACAACACCCCACTACCACCAGGATCCCTGCCCCTTTCCCCAAACCCATCCCATCACCTGAGAGCAGAGACACACCAAGAGGTAGATGCCCCCAATCAGCACCCCCTCCTCGAGCCTGTTACACAGGAACATGAGGCTATTCAGTCCCCATCCACAAACCACTCGATCAGATTCCAGTCTGTAACTCCCTCCCGGGGTATCTGTTATTCTGTATATCAACCACCCCGAACCCCCTCGATCAGATTCCAGTCTGTAACTCCCTCCCGGGGTATCTGTTATTCTGTATATAAACCACCCCGAACCCCCTCGATCAGATTCCAGTCTGTAACTCCCTCCCGGGGTATCTGTTATTCTGTATATAAACCACCCCGAACCACTCCATTAGATTCCAGGCTGTAACTCCCTCCCAGGATATCTGTTATTCTGTATATAAACCGCCCCGAACCCCTCGATCAGATTCCAGTCTGTAACTCCCTCCCGGGGTATCTGTTATTCTGTATATCAACCACCCCGAACCCCCCTCGATCAGATTCCAGTCTGTAACTCCCTCCCGGGGTATCTGTTATTCTGTATATAAACCACCCCGAACCCCCTCGATCAGATTCCAGTCTGTAACTCCCTCCCGGGGTATCTGTTATTCTGTATATAAACCACCCCGAACCCCTCGATCAGATTCCAGTCTGTAACTCCCTCCCGGGGTATCTGTTATTCTGTATATAAACCACCCCGAACCCCCTCGATCAGATTCCAGTCTGTAACTCCCTCCCGGGGTATCTGTTATTCTGTATATAAACCTCCCCGAACCCCTCCATTAGATTCCAGGCTGTAACTCCCTCCCAGGATATCTGTTATTCTGTATATAAACCACCCCGAACCTCTCCATTAGATTCCAGTCTGTAACTCCCTGCCGGGGCATCTGTTATTCTGTATATAAACCACCCAAAACCCCTCCATTAGATTCCAGTCTGTAACTCCCTGCCGGGGTATCTGTTATTCTGTATATAAACCACCCAAAACCCCTCCATTAGATTCCAGTCTGTAACTCCCTCCCGGGGTATCTGTTATTCTATACATAAACGCCTCTGAACTGCTATTTCTCCGTCTCACCTTGCCACCTTCACTCCATTCCGATACTGTTCCACGTCGACTGTGGAACTTCCTGTCGCATGGGAGATGACATTGAGATCGGAAAACTCAGCCTGGAACAGAGGTTGGGCGAGAGCGAGAGAACGGGGTGGAGAGAGGGAGAGATGGATGGAGAGTCAAGAAGACACAGTGAGAGAGAGGGAGAGAGAGAGAGGGAGGATGTGACAGAGAGTGAGAAGGAGAGAGAGAGACATAGTGACAGAAACAGAGGGAGAGAAAGACAGAGTGGGAGTGACAGAGAGAGAGAATGTGAGAGAGGGAGAGAGCCAGAGAGAGTGACAGAGACAGAGACAGCGAGAGAGAGAGAGAAGGAGAGAGACAGAGATAGTGACAGAGAGAGAGTGAGGGAGGGAGAGACAGAGAGAGTGACAGAGAGAGAAAGTGACAGAAACAGAAACAGTGAGAGAGAGAGTGAGAGAAGGAGAGAGACAGAGATAGGGAGAGAGAAAGAGGGAGAGAGACAGAGAGTGGCAGAGACAGACAGAGTGACAGAGAGTAACAGAGACAGAGGTAGTGACAGAGAGAGAGAGTGAGAGAGGGAGAGGCAGAAAGAGTGACAGAGAGAGACAGTGACAGAGACAGAGACAGCGAAAGAGAGAGTGATAGAGTGACAGAGAGAGAGAGGGAGAGAGACAGAGAGTGGCAGAGACAGACAGAGTAACAGAGCGAGAGAGTGACAGAGACAGAGACAGTGAGAGAGAGAGTGATGGAGTGACAGAGAGAGAGGGAGAGAGACAGAGAGTGGCAGAGAGACAGAGTGACAGAGAGAGAGAGTGACAGAGACAGAGACAGCAAGAGAGAGAGTGATACAGTGACAGAGAGAGAGAGGGAAAGAGACAGAGAATGCAGGCACAGCAAAGGTTTGGATTCGGAAAGAGAGATTTACCAAGAGGGACCGAGAGAGATAAAGAGACAGAGGGAGAATGAGACAGAGAGCAATATAGTGGCAGAGAGAGAGGGAGAGAGTGACAGAGCGATAGTGACAGAGAGAGGGTGTGTGATAAGAGAGAGGGCATAGCAAAGAGTGAGAGTGGGAGAGAGAGAGAAAGATAAAGACAGACAGAGAGAGAGATAGAATCAGACAGAGACAGAGAGAGGGAGATTGAGATAAAGGAGCAGAGAGAGAGCGACAGAGAATGAGAGCGAGAGAGTGAGTATGAAAGAGAGACAGCATGGGGTTAGATACAGAGTAAAGCTCTCTCTACACTGTCCCCCCCAACAAACACTCCCAGGGACAGGGGGTTAGATACAGAGTAAAGCTCCTTCTACACTGTCCCCCCCATCAAACACTCCCAGGGACAGGGGGTTAGATACAGAGTAAAGCTCCCTCTACACTGTCCCCCCCAACAAACACTCCCAGGGACAGGGGTTAGATACAGAGTAAAGCTCCCTCTACACCGTCCCCCCTATCAAACACCCCCAGGACAGGGACAGCACGGGGTTAGATGACCTCAGGCTGTCTTGCTCCCCCCTACTCAGATCACTGGTTGTCCTCCATCCGACATGGGGTAGTGGGGTAGTGAGTGAGTGAGTGACCATCATGTGGCGGGGGCTGAGGAAGGGGGGAGAGGTCTGTGGGCAGCGTGGGGAAGGGACAGGGTGTGAGTGAGAGGGTAGACAGTGTGATTAAACACTCACCTGTTCGACTTTGATGTCAAATTCTCCCCAAACCTTCCTTCCTTTAAACACTTTCGCCCTGTGTGAGACAGAGACACAGAGACAGAGACAGAGGAAGAGAGACAGACGGAGACAGAGACAGAGGGAGAGACAGAGACAGAGAGAGAGAGAGAGACAGAGACAGAGAGAGAGAGAGACAGATAGACAGTGAGACAGAGAGAAAAAGAAAGAGAGAGAGGGACAGAGAAAGAAGGGGCAAGAGAGAGAGAGACAGACAGAGACAGACAGATAGTGACAGAGAAACAGCCAGACAGATAGGGAGAGGGTGAGGTGGTGGGGGGAGAGAAAGAGACGGTGAGAAAGAGACGGTGAGAAAGAGAGAGACAGAGAGAGAGGGAGGGGTGCGAGACAGGGAGGGTGGGAGAGATATCAAAGTGGGCAGAGAGAGCGAGGGGGGAGAGAGAGAGGGAGATGGGGGGGAGAGAGA